TTTTTATTTTATTTTATTTTTATTTTGTTACATTATGTAATGATAGTCATTTTAAAATGTGATTAAATGTGTCCAAATACTCTTTGGGGACAGAAGAGAGAATGCCTGTAAATGTATGACCTTTTCTGTTAGCAATTAATGTTAATGGTTTGCTTTAATTAATTGTTTGCCACAAGCTTTACATTATTATTTTAACAAATTATTTGGACCATAAATCCAATGCAATATACAGCACTGAGGTTTAAATATCAGGGTTTCTGCATCCTCTTCACGTGTCTAATGACATCTTTGCTTGTCTGAAAAATTGAACAAGACGTGTTATGGATTGACACAGGTACAGGAATTAAGAGCCTATGGATGCAGACAAGACATTAAAACCTTAGTAATACATACTATATTACTTATTTGTATTAGTTCAGTAGTGAATGTATTCAAAATCGAACAAAGAAATTGATTTACCATGCATGATGTCATATAGACCTGCATTATTTGTTTTCTTCCATGTAACAGAAATTAAGATTAAGAGTGTCTAAGAACTTTAGAAATTATTTTATTTTTAAACACAGATAGGTATGTCTATTAATATAATCTGTTGACTTTAAGGGGCACCTATTATGCAAAATCCACTTTTACATGGATTTGGACATAAATGTGTTTTGGCCGTGTGTGAACACAGCCACCCTACAATGATACAAATCCACCCACTTCTTATTTTTTAATCGTCATTAAACCAAATCAGTCTCAGGCCTGCTGTTTTGATTCTCTAAGCAATATGACATCACACTGCTTAGGCCCCGCCCACGCAGGGGCATAGTTTGTGGGGGGGGATAGGGGTAATTTATAAGCGCTAACTTCACGTACGAACCGAATGGAGCTGTTCTCAGCACAATATGACTGAAGCGCATTTCACGAGCGGCGTGTGAATCAGTTTGCATGCCTGTAACTAAAGAAGTAATAACGATATCTTAATATCTGTTTATATTTTGGTCCTTAAACTTTTCTTTGCTATTTTCATTTTTAAGGCTCTATATGGTTCGTTCCCAGAGATATGGGGATCTCAATGCGGCTTCATGAGTAAACTGTTAAATTATACACATTTTCAGTGGTCAAAAACCAAATGTGGGTCCCTTTGTATATAACAGATTTTTTTTTCTTTTAAAGATAAAATAATGTTAAAACTAGAATTGTATCTTGTTTCTCTCTATGAAAACTATTGCATAGAACATTTATCAATATTGTTTTTCCAAAGACTGTATAACTGTAACTCAACATGTATTAAACATACGTGTATCTCAAAATCCTGTTCGATTCTGGTTGTATGGTCACTTACATTGCATTTAAAGTTGAATGTCTGAAGAACAAATACAAATGTGACTATTTAATTGCATAAAACACTGTTTGCATTCAGTGGATACTCTCCAAAATGGCACTAGGGTGATGCGGAGGAGACGAATTGTTGAATAAAATCGTTATTTTTGTTTTCTTTGCATACAAAAAGTATTCTTGTAGCTTCGTAAAATTACACTTGAACCACTGATGGCACATGGATTATTTTATTGATCTCCTTGCTATGTTTCTGGACCTTGATTGTGTTAATTACATTGCTGTCTATGGGAGGATCTGAGAGCTCTCAGAATTCATCAAAAATATCTTAATTTGTGTTCCGAAGATGAATGGAGGTCTTACGGGTTTAGAACGACATGAGGGTGAGTAATTAATGATAGAATGATAGAAACTTATTGGATAGTCGTGACCTTCCTGTTCTTTTTCAGGAAGACTGTGACTTCCTCAATGCAGAACTCTTAGTTTCAGAAATATAAGATGCAATTAAGTCAGTGAAGTGTTAATAAGACCCCAGGAACCGATGGATACCCCAGTCCCAGTTTTACAAAGAATTCAGTGATCTTTTCTCATCTTATTTAAATACTGCTGATATTTTACCTCCTATTCAAATGAGGCTACCAGAGGAAGTAAGTAGATATAGGCCAGTTTCATTTCTGACATGAGACCAACAAATTTTGACTAAAGTTTTGTCCATTATGCTTAGTTCTGTAACTTGATAAACTTATTCACCCTGATAAGAAAGGATTTATTCCAAACAGGGACTCCTTTTCAAATCTTTGACATCTTTTTAAGATAATCTACTCTCACTTTGGTTCTCAGAGTATGGATAAACTGGTCTAAGATTAAATTAATGCCTATCAAGGTACAATTCCTTTCAGTTCTTCACCAAATCCCATTTAAAATCAGGCATCTCAATTTAGGATAGAAAGAATTTTCAGTCATTATTCAAAGCTAACTTTCCCCCTCTAGTGGCCAAACTGCAAAACAATTATTTAGTTTAGAGCAGGGGTGTCAAACTCAGTTCCTGGAGGGCCGCACAGAGTTTAGTTCCAACCCTGCTCCAACACACAAACCATGTAGTTTTCAATTGAGCCTGAATGACTTGATTAGTTGGATCAGGTGTGTTTAATTAGGGTTGGAGCTAAACTCTGCAGGGCTGTGGCCCTCCAAGATTTGAGTTTAACACCCCTGGTTTAGAAATACCCCTTCCTAATTTCTTGTTATGAAGGGTTAATGTCTTTTTTGGACTATAAAGTCCATAGAATAAGTAAAACCTGCTTATGTAAATCTAAAGCTGAAGGCGGAATGGCCCTTCCAAACTTCTCTCTTTGTTATTATTTAATAATAGTATTTAGTGTTGAGAAATGGTGTTTGTGTTCGTGATGGTGATTTTAGTTACATTATTCCGCCATTAGATGGCAACAAGAGAAAGCCTTTATGAAGTCAGCAGTAAAGACTTTTATATTGAAAGAGACTTAAACAGGGTTGTAAACAAGGAAGTTATTTTTATTTTCAACAACTGCTTGTAAGACACAGCCAACAAATGCAGTGAGCAGCGCTGTCACCGGAAATCA